ACCACGTCTGGGCATGAGTCATCACAATGGAATGCAGGGCATCAACCAATAGGCATGCAGCTTTCCTCTATACTTCTTGCTGATTGGCTGTTGGGATTTAACTTGATTAACACCTGCACAGAGCATTTCCACCTGCACAGAGCATTTCTTGCTGATTGGCTGTTGGGATTTAACTTGATTAACACCTGCACAGAGCATTTCCATACTGACAGTATGTCTTTATTCAAGTGTTTTGGTAGGTATTTCAAGCTTTTTCTGCTCCAGCATTGGAATGCGGGGCATTGTTAACGTTACGTTTTTTTTTTTGGAAAATCAACAGTTTGCATTATGCAATTAAAAATCCTAACCAATAAAGTAGGGAATAGCTATCCAACTGTTGTTTTAGTTGTATGTTACTTCATATTATAGTTATATCAATGTAAATCATTGTTTTCCCTTGTGTTTCTCATTCTTTCCCTGCCATGTCGTAAAATGTGGTGAACCCATCGCTGTATTTGCTCCAAAGCAAATATTGGCCTTTCTAGTATTATAGTTTGTAATTATTGAATTTACCTTATTGAAAGATGAAGCTACCATAATCAAGACAAGACTGCAACATAAAGAAGCGAATATAGGTTTAGAGTAATATTAGGATCTTTTTCCCATGTGATGACATTCACTGGTCAGTCCCCAAAAAGCTTAATGGTCAACAACTCGTAAACATTGGGGCATCCTAATTATGTTGATTTATTCATGTGTTGTCATTAGCATGCTTGTAATGGCGAATATCGTTGCTAACACTATTATGACTCGTGTCCTCCTTAATTTCCTTTTTCTATTGTTTAAATAGAGAGGTGTACCGGATATTACAATCAATATACGTGAAACTTAGCTTGCATTTGATGACTGCATATTACATACGATTAGAATCTCATGTAATCTCTTTTGGTGACAGGAATAAAAGGCTATCAATCTACTACAGCCGTTTGTCTTATGTCTTCTTTTGTCACAGGTTTGTCTACACTTGTATGTATCATTGTTGTACATAGGTGTATATATTCATATTTAGGTATTGTTTGAAATTTAAAAAAATGAAAAGGTTTTCTAACCGATGAAATCTCATGTGCACTGATTTAAGTAAGATATATTTATCATCACCATTTGTATTTTTCAAGGTATAGTCAACCGTTCATTAATCCGCCCAAAAGTAATTATTCATTGACAAGCAACTGGATATGATTTTGGAAACGTCAGACGTTTCAGCTAGTATCCACAAGCTTTCGTCAGTGACTGAGATACCAGAGGAGAAATGCAGGTTTATAAGCACAAACTATTGATTGATATGCAAATGAAATGAAGACAATTTTTTGGATGTCGAAAAGGGAACAAAAGTCAGACAAGTCAAGACAAGATTATGCTAAGTCAGAAAGCTCCTGTTATGCAGAACAGGAGCTGAAGTGTTGTCTGTCCTCGGGGTTGGGAGCGCCAAATTCAAGTACCGGAGAGATCTACCCGTAGCCCCCCTTCCCTGTTGAGGGTTGGGTTGTACATTCTTCCATATATTGCCTCTCTAACACCCCGTTCCCACCAGCGTGTTTCGCGGTCAAATATATCTGTGGATTCGAGTTTGAAGGAGTGGCCCGTGGAGTGACCCATTGATTGATCATTTCTGAAGGAAGAGACTTAAGAAAACAGTTGCGTGATTATTTCAGGGTCAAAGGAAAGAGACTGTGAAAAGTCGTACAACCGGCACACATGCCCCATGGCAAAACTTTGGAACAAATTAGCTTGGGCGCCATGATAGTGTTTGAGCAAAACCCATGATAAACGTGCTCTTTCCATCGATTCAGTGCTTTACCTTTGTTGATCGTCTTATGACACCGACGAAAACTTTTTGTCGCAATTTTTTTCACACTTCTGTGTCACAGTGGCATACGGTGTTAATACTAACCTTATGTTACCCATGACAAAGCAAAATGTTTGCATCATATTCTATTGATGTTCACTCAGGTGTGAAGCAATGGAGACCGAAGACCTTATCGTAATGAGTAATGTTTGTTTGTTTGTTTGTTTGTTTGTTTAGGATCTCCATTAGAGTGAATTTCACACTATTCTTCCTGGAGTCCGTAGTCAGATAGTAGTATTTTGGACCATCGCACACCGGGGCATGCCCCTACTTTTTAACGTACGTGGGATGTGGCTCTCCCCAAACACGGGACCTCCATTTAACGTCCTATCCGAGGGACGTCCCTAGCTAGGTACTCATTTACACCTGAGTGAAGTGAGGAAAATCGTGTAAAGTGCCTTTCCCAAGGGCACAGGATCGGTGACATGGGTGGGGATTGAACCCGGGACCTCTTGGTCCTGATCCGAACGCGCTACAGCTGCGCCAGACGACCCCACAGTAATGCCTAGAATCATGTGTGCAACAGACACAAAGGGTGCAGGGATGGGGTCAGGTCAGTGACCCAAAGTGGCAGATTGCCAAAGACTACTGAAACACCCTGTTGACTGTGGAGATAGGCTTAGCAAAATCGATGTTCTGTTTCCCATTACGAAAGCCGATTCAGTCAGTAGGTCTTGAATACTTTCCCCCAACAAATACAATTTGATAATGTAAAACTGAAATGCATCAGGTCACTAAAATCTTCAACATATCTTTGATCAAACAACATACATTGCACACGAGTATGATTATCAATAAACTGAACAAATAACCACAATGTTCACTACACACAACACACAGTTAATATCACTTTTTCTTGCAACAAAAATGACGATGATATATAAGAAAACTATCCCAATGCGTTTTTATTACTAGTACTTAAATGTCATATAGACATTTTACGTCGCACGCCAGCAGAAGACCCTCATGGGTTTATAAGATTTCGTTGGGCTTCATAACACGACTAGAAACACAGCATTGTTTTTCCAAGGCCAAACCTGTAGCGTCGAGAGATCACAGGTAAAGAATCCAGTCTGGACTCACAACGTGACGTACTGCTCCTCGTCTTGGCTGGTGAGTACACTAGATTACAGATATCTCTCTTACTAGTAACATTTTCCTGCATTATGCATAGTAATGTTTCCCATGAAGAACTTGTCTAAGGTTTGATAGGCGCAAAAATTCGTATGTATTTGTCATATAATTGTATGGGCGAAAGATCAGTCAATACAGTAGACATCGACGGTAGGTATAGTTGTACATGTTTGTTCCCAGACACGCCCCCTAGTCACGTACTAACTTTGTTACATTTCGGAGGCGAACAAAGTTGTTATTTGTACCTTTTCAAGAATGCATGCTGTGGAATGGCTGTAAGAATGTTGCAGTAGTTGTGTGAGTTTGTATATACGACCAATATATGGGCAGTTTGAACTTAACGTTGAAAATAAATGTTGCTGTTGCTGTTGTTAAGAAAATAGCTGGAGGTGCCCAGTTTGACCCCATGTGTCTCTGTGTCTGTATCGATAGATCTCTCTGTGTGTGTCTTTGTTTGTGCACACACACGCACGTGTGTGCGTATGAATAATGCGTTTGTATGTGTGTGTGCGTGTGTGTGTGCGTGTGTGTGTGTGTGTGTGTGTGAATTCATGGTATGCGCGCGCGCTTGTATGTGTGCGTGTGTGTACATGTGTATGCATGTGTGTGTGTCTAGGTGTGTGTGTGTGTGTGTGTGTGTGTGTGTGTGTGTGTGTGTGTGTGTGTGTGTGGATGAGTACGTGACTGTGTACATATTAGTATGTGCGTGCGGATTCATGTGTATAGACGTGTGTATGAACGTATGTAAAGCCTAACTCACGTCAACAGTAGAGACCAATCCACTGCGAACCAAAAGAGATTTTTAGTCACATACTAACTTAATAGAATGCAACTTTCAAGGCAAGGGGGCGTATCTACCACAAAGCTGTGGACTTTGGTCACGTTTTGCTCTGAAAGGCAGCCTGCGGGGTGTGCTGCTTACTGTATTGTTCTTCAAACCAGTTTTTACCCTTTGTTATGCTACATCAGTTCAGGACACGTTGAGCAGTTTGAGCTAATTAACATCGGCCAAATTCGTCGTAGGTCTTCGCACGATTTTGATGCCTTGGATTGTACAAGAAACCAACACCACCAAGTATATCTTAGGTATAGGGAGGTTAATGATGCAGGATACATGCATGACCCCCCACCCCCACCCCAACAAACACACACACAGACACACACAAAAGCACGCTAATTTTGCCTATTTGCCTCGACTCTTACACGACAATGAGCTCCAAATAACAGCGTAACAACTAAAATTTAGTAGTCAAGGAAAGTATGCCTGAAAGGATATTTTCAAAGCTTGCAAAAAAAATATACAAAACACGTACGTGCACAGGCAACACCAGCCACACCCAGTTTTTTGGCAACTTGTCAAACAAGAGTTTGGAGAAGTCATACCTCTAGAGCACAACAACAGCTTTGTAAATTTCATATTTCATCTTGTCTCAATCTTATCTTGACTTTTATTTTGTGTCGAAATGTTGTAATTACCATGATGAATTTTAATTAATAATCGCAATTGATAATAAAAAGGATTGGAACTACAGGTGTGTTTTCATCTCCAAATTTCAACCCAAAAATTCAAGAGGGGAAGTTATCGAGTTTTTATTAGTAATCATGGCACGCATAAATAAGGAAAGAAACTTTGCTTTGCTTGCTTACTAAGCTTTAATTTGACATCATTTTTATTCTATTTCTGTCTTTTTATCATTTAGTCTGAAGAACGGACTACAAACACCATCACCGACTTCCCCGCAAATATCCTTGAGCTGAATCATCAAAATGCCTGTAAGAGTAAATTGTTTCCGAATTTTCTTTTTTGTTTTTGTTTCGTCCATTACACAGTGAACAGTTATTTTGGTTCGCCTGAAAATGATTTAGTATGACTTATGACTTATGTAAAAATATACTATTTTCAATACAATCTATAGAATCAACTTAAATTGGCAGACATTGATGTAGAAAAAGTAGCCAATCGTTGATTTTTACATGTTGACAGCTGCTGTCAAACCGGCCGAAACCTAAACCGTTACCCAGGCCCAAGCCTAGACCTCCACCAGTCCAGCAGACAATCCAACAAGAAGTCTACGATGGACAAGATGTACCCAAGGACCCGGTAAAGGAGAAAGAAAACCGCGCTCAAGTATGAATTCTCTTATTTTGTTACTTCAGGGTAGGGAAGTATTTTTGGGTGGCAGAGCTGTGTGTTTGTGTATCTCTTTGTCTCCACAGATTAGGTTGACAACAAGTGGGTGGAAAAAGACAGAATGACAGGAGACCAAACGTCGTAGTATCTTTCCCAAAGCCAGTATGGATTAGAAGTCGACAGGGAGAAATTCAAGAAGCTGAAGAAGATTTAGTAGATTTGGTACTTACTGGTACTTACTGGTACTTACTGAAATCTTCAACTTCTTGTTTTTTGGCTTTGTTTGGATAAAATGTTGACTGTGACTGCTAAATTACAGTACCATGTGGTTGAGTGTATATTATAAATGTATTATGTTTCCTGGTCTGTTGAATTTTCTTTCCTTGCTATGTTGTTCTTACTTACTCTTACAGGCAGTTGCGAAAACGTTCGAGGCCCTTAAAAACCACCATCGTGCGTACAGTGTGGAAGTTCTGTCCCATCACGGTGGTGACAAAGACCCCAAACATCCCCCGGACACCCTCACCATCAAAACCGGTGATGACGGAAAAGAGGAGCTCCATGTTGGCCAACACGTCGTGCACAACTGGAACTGGGACGAGCCTACTGGGACACTGACGTTCAAGAAGGGAGATCTCGGTGGGCACATCGAATTCCCGCACGAGGAGAGCGTTCAGGGCTTCGGGACGATCAGAAGTGCCCTGACATCATTCTCCGTCAAGACGACGTTGAAACCCGTCACCTACGAGTGTGCGTTTTCCAGCGACGCCGGGGCATACGTCAAACAGGAAGGAACTGCACTAAAGCTGGTCTGGGATGCTTCAGGCGACACGTGGGGGAAGGCGACCTGGGAAGACAACGTTCTGAGCTTCTCGTACGGCATCGAGGAGCAGTTCTTCATCGGACAGAAGACGTACAAGGTCGTCGTCAACTTTGAAGATCTGCAAACGAACGTGACCTACAGCCCTGCAGAAGGTGACTTCTCCTTCATCCTAAACCCTTCGTTCCAGGCCGTGTTCCAGCACGAGAACAGCACGGTCCCCGTCCCTGACGATCCCCGTACCGACGGCAAGCACGTCTTCCCGTATCTACTGGAGTTCACCTTCAACGCGGTGGCATCCAGCTTCGACGGGGCCGTTCTGACAAAGGCGCTGGATGCAGCCACCGGTGAGGTGTACGGAGTCAAGGCAACGGTCCAGCAAACTGTGAGTGGGATGTTCTTGATGGCAGCTCCAAGCAAAGAGAGCTCTTTGGTCGAAGTGAGTCACGGAAGGCTGATGGTCGGTAACGAGGCCGTGCCGAGTAGCAAGCAGGTGGGAGACAAAATCACCTGGGATTCCATGCCTGCGCACTTGGCAGAAGCGAGCAATCTTCCCGCAGCAGGCACCCTTCACTTCCCTGCCAACACGTCTGCGGTAAAACTCAGCGACACCGGTGTCACAGGCTCGGCACTCAGCGCATTCCACCCCGCATCGTTCGTGGCCATGGCAACAAGCACGCCACTCAACGGCGAAGATCTCTTGAACATGTCTCAGTTCAGACAAGATGGGAATGGCAACTACTACGACTACATACAACAGGAGTCGATGCAGGACTTCTACACGATTATACAGTACTACATGGACTCAGACCTCCGGGAGAAGTACATGGGCCTGAGCAACCCTCCGAGTCTGGACCCTTCTGTCAAACAGATAGCGGACACCAACGGTAGCCCCACGGCCGACCAGAAAGCAAATGGCGACGACGGTGTCGCAAGTACCTGGTACAAGACTCTCAGCGTGGCCTACCTTACCCAGGCGCTTCCTTCCATATTTTCCAGCGATGAATACGCCGGGAAGCTGAACACAATCCGCGCAAAGCAGTGGCTTAAGACAGAGACATCAACGGCGAGTGTCTACACCACCCAAGCGTCTGACCTCTACAAGAACCGTTGGATAACTAACATACCGATGACGGGGCAATACCTGGTCGATCAAATTCAAAACAAAACCACATACGCCGCCTACATTGACCAGGACAAAAGCACCTGGGAGGATGAGATCAGAAGTACCGTCGAAGATACAGAAAACCAAACAGCGATGCTGACCATCATAGAAAAGCTGACTACGTTGGGGAAACAAGGAAAGTATTGGGCATATTGGCTTTTCCGTGACCTAACCCAGACATCTGCTCTGCAGATGCTACAGATGCTGTCCATGGGAGGGGCTGCCTCCTTGGATGGATCTGCATTTTCCAGACGAATCCAGCAAAACTGTGCCATGCTCGGCATCCTTGACAGCAGTGCAGAGTTTCAGCAACAGTACGTCAAGGTCATACAGATCTTCCAGCTCACCAACGTCCTGCCACAGCTGTTAGACTTCAGCGGCGACATGACACACTACACATACGCCGTCATGGAGATTCTTAGCGCCTTCCAGGAGACGTACATCGACAGTACCGACCCACAGATGCGCGATGCAGCCACTGAAATCCAGGAAAACATGAACCAGCACGCCGTTGAAGATCTACTCTCGGTATTGCAGGTGTCAGCATCGCAGATGGCGGCGGACTACAGTTTGCTGAAAGTATTGAAAGAAGCGGACAGTAAGTTTAAGACAATCACGCTACAGGCACTTGGGAAATTGGTAACAGGTGCCGCACTTTCAGCAGGGATCATGATGTTCTACTACGGAGTACTAGACTGGAGTGCACTGAGTACGTCAGACAAGGTACAGGTCGTCAGTAATGGAGCGGTACTGTTCACAGAGGTAGCCGGTGGTATGTTGAAACGAGGAGCGGCCATATATGAACTATGGGGCACCGAGTCCATGGGCTTCAAAAACGTCGGGAAGATTCTCGCGACAGGTGACTGCCAGGAGTCCATCACCCGAGCTTCCAACGGTTTCTCCAAGTGGCTGCTACAGAGGAAAGGGAAGGTGGAAGTCGGTGTGGACGCAGCAGCTGCAGCTGAAGAGGCTATCGTAGCAGGTGAAGAAGACATGACGCTAATGCAGAATTTGTTCGGGCGGAACCTCGAGGAGTTTATGGCCACCCGGTTCGGGGCAGCGGTTGCTACTCTCGGGCTGGTCTTCGGCGCCATAGCTCTCAGCAAGTCGCAATCGAAGCTGGAGGAGGTTGGAAATGCCCTGGGCGTCACCGCATCAGCACTCCAGCTTTGCGCAACGATGGGAGCCTGGCTTCTCCCTGAAACGGTGCTAGGAGTTGAGGCCGCAACCATCTGCTCGTGCCTGGGAGCACTTGCAATTGTAGCAGCAATCGCAGGAGTCATAATACTCGTCATAGCAATGAACAAACACCATCCGACACCCATTGAGGATTTTGCGAAAAACCAGGCAGCCGCGGCTGGCCTGTACATGGAACACGGGGCAGACATCGACAGCTTCCAGAGTTACCAGCCAACCGGTCAGTTGGAGAAGGAGGGAGTCAGTCTCCGTATGGGAGGATCCTCAAGTCAGAATCTACAGTTCAAACTGGACGGTACTCTAAGTCTTTCAGAGAAAACACATGGCCCTGACACCGTCTTCTATCTCGTAACCGACGCCTACGGTCGTGCAAAGTTCATTGCCAACTTGCCCAGCGAAGATAACACGCAGATAGAATCCAAGGTTCTGACAATCGACAGTAACGGCGTGCTATCAGGGTCAAGTTTGCTGACTGGAAGCTCAGCCGACCAGCAACTTTGGGTCGCCGAATGCCAAGGGTCGGTGAGTCGTGACAGTGACGACCATCTACAGTCCGCCTCCTTCAAGTTCTACAGCTACTACTGGTACAAGAACCACAGTAAGAAGTATTACTTGGGAGGATCAAACAACGTCCCCTCGACATCGGAGACAAACCAAGAAGACTGGACAGTCACCATGGCTTCGACCAAGCCAGTCGCGCTCACTATGGACGACATCACCCTGTTCACCTACCAGATGGACCAGACCTACCTACCGACTCTCCTGAACCCAGGGAGTGACCCCAAGACGTGGTCCATCAGCCCTGACCTACCAGCCTTTATGGAGCTCGACACGTCGACCGGTGCGGTGTCGCAGAAGTCTGGAGAAGCGGCTACCGTCACAGCCAAGGAAACCTACACACTGAGCGTGGAGAACAGCCTCGGGTTTTCCTCCACTACATTCACTTTCGAAGTGCAAGTCTTTAACTTCTAGACATTTCGACTAAGACACACAATGTTTTCTCTTTTCACAAAGGACACCAAAAAAATCACTTAGTGTCATTTTCAGAATTATAATATCATAGGACCTATACCATTTCTATTAAAATACACATCACAGGATTTTCTACTTAAAATTGGTCTAAGGGTACATAAAATTAGGGGCATTAGTTCCATGCGTTTTGGTGACGTATAGTTTTCTGTATTACTAGTAACAAGTTGAATATATAGTGGGAAGTTAAGACTTGAATATAAGTCACTAGGTACTAATAGAATTCATTTCAAACGCAAGGCAAAAATGCATGTAATGTGTTGGTTGCAGTTTATTTCTTGAGCCGAACAAGATAATTCAATACTTCGACACATACAACTGATATCATATACAGAAAGGTTTAGCATTAATTGTAGGAAAAATTAAGGCAAAGTGGTGCTTTGAAGGTAAAAGCTTAAAAGAGCATTTGCCAGGAACTGATATATATATACAGAATATGAGGGTTATTCATATGATAACGTATATGTCAATATTGTTATGTATCTCTACCTTTATAATCTCTATCCTTCAGTAATCACTTTGTTTTGGCTTTATTCAAGTTTTACCAATTGAATGTTTTGTTTTCTGTTTGTGAGTACTATATACAGCAAATGAGTGCACACCATACGCCTTTGTGCCAGAATACCATGGCCGCAAGACAAACTTCCACGAATACAAAGACACTGGGCATCATCATCAAAAACAGCGATTAATTGATGTTGTATACATTGAATGCACCCAGATGTAGAAGTTATAGTACAATCTTTCCTCGTACAATATGTTATGGCTACTTTGTAGGTGAATCAAACTATGTACCAGATATCACCATCTTAACAGGACAATTTATGTATACATTAAATGCACCCAGATGTAAAAGTTATAGTACAATCTTCCCTCGTACAATATGTTATGGCTACTTTGTAGGTGAATCAAACTATGTACCAGATACCACCATCTTGACAGGACAATTCAATATTTGAATTTTACCGTTTTCTTTATATTTATATTTGTTTTGTTTATACCTTTTAATTTAGCGTATACATTATAGCAAGGGTCAAATAGCAATATCCAACTGTGACTAAGAAAGAGTGATTTTAAAAAGTGATTATAACCATCTTAGGCATACCGTATTTACGTGAGCTATTATATTAATAAATAGATAAATATAGATAAAAATCTGGTGTGTGATATGTAAGCTATGGTATTATGTTAGCTTGAGTTACAATAATAGTTTACATTGATGTTGTTTACCAAACAGACTTCATTTTGAAAGCAAGTCAAACATGTATGCAAGGTGCTGGTTGCAGTTTAGTTTATGATATACATGTAAGTGAGATAATTCGATATTTGAATTATAAATCTAGACACAATTGATATCATGTGGATGGAGGGTATGCTTAAATTGTAAGAACTGCTTGGTATCATACACATGTGAAAAGTGGTGATTATTACAATAAGAATTTAATTCGATATTTCAACCTGAAAAGCAAGATGCTGTTTAGATGTATCTGCTAGTGCGTGTGTATTTATTTAGACATTAATTAGCATGTGTCATCTGATAGAACATACAATTGCCATAGTGATTTAAGCCCCTGCGTGGGATTTTCTATTAGCTTTTACAATGGATCAACTAAGTGCATCTTTTGTATGTACATGTGTTAAAGTTAGAAACCAAAATTTAGGCTTTAAAGAACATACTGAAGAAACATCTTTAGATGAATGGCCAATGTGTTTAGCTTTGACGTTAACTCGAAACTAGTGTTACAAAGCTTTATATTTTTTCTATAACATGTTTATTTCTTTAATATGCAAGTACAATGTTACTTTAGTGGATAGAAAATTAATGTCCATAAAATTTCATTCCTGTAATTACTTCGCAAAGCGTAGTGGGTATGTTTAAGAATTCAAGTTTTCTGTGATAGCATTTTGTTCCTATTTGTAACTTTATTTTCAACATTCACAAAAGTCGCTAGGAGATCTTTTTAGTGGTGTAGAGAGGCTCAAGGATTGTTAACCTCGGAGAGATATTAGTTATTGGTATTAATAGCTTTGCAAGTTATATATAATTAGTAAATTTGATATTAATACAGGGTTTATACTGGTTTTACCTGCAGTACAAGTGGCATAAAAAGGAACATGTTTGAATAAACAAAACGTTCCAAAATTTTGTATCCGTTACATACCATACAAGGACAATAATTAATGTCCACTGATGTTATTTTATTGTCAAGTATTGTTGGTTGACTTGAAAGGAAATAATGACTTCAGTTTGTTTCAACTCAGAGTTTACTAATGGGTCCCTAATAGTCCATGTCTTCTACCTGGACACCGTGGTGTATACCTTCCTTCAAGTTTTCATAAACAAGTCTATTAAAGCACGTTCAAAGATAACGGTTACAAAATTCAACCAGAACCTTGTCTAAATCCTTCCAAAATACTACTTCACAACAAAGTGACAAATTTCACAGTAAAACTAGTAAATTTCCACCCCATTTTACATTTAGCTCTGATACAATATTAAGCCTATTAAAGCAGTTTAAAAGATAATGGTTACAAAATTCAACCAGAACCTTGTCTAAATCCTGCCAAAATACTACTTCACAACAAAGTGAAAAATTTCACAGTAAAATTAGTGAATTGCCTCCCCATTTTACATTTAGCTCTGATACAATATTAAGCCTATTAAAGCAGTTTAAAAGATAATGGTTACAAAATTCAACCAGAACCTTGTCTAAATCCTGCGAAAATACTACTTCACAAAAAAGTGACAAATTTCACAGTAAAACTAGTAAATTGCCTCCCCATTTTACATTTAGCTCTGATACAATATTAAGCCTACTAAAGCAGTTTAAAAGATAATGGTTACAAAATTCAACCAGAACCTTGTCTAAATCCTGCGAAAATACTACTTCACAAAAAAGTGACAAATTTCACAGTAAAACTAGTAAATTGCCACCCCATTTTACATTTAGCTCTGCTATAATATAAGTCCTGTTTGATGAATGATTCAATACCATGTAGATACAATCTACAGAATTTAGGGACAGGTCTTTTTCTTCAATGGTCAGTAGGTCACAAGAAACCATGCTAGTATCAGAGGTACAAAATTGATGTCGTACACACTGATTCAATTAGAATAAAGTTATAACACCACCTAGCAGAATTAAAGGGAGTGGCAGAGGATGAAATTCGGTGCTTTAAACATAACCTTCTTGGCGAAAGTACTATAATAACATTTCATGTTGTTCATCCGCCAAGTGCCACCTGGCAAATGAAGAAAGTCAGGCGGTTACATGGCTCATCCCTCCACCACGTGCTGCCTGCCATTACCACCAAAGCGACACAATCCTTCCCATTTTGGATTCTTTGCTGGCCATATTTCCATGAACTGTACTCCCCAAGCGCAGAACCATCAACCCACTCAAACTTTCCTTCCTCACCCTGATCATGCAGACCAATCCAGCAAAGGATAATGTAGCCGTTCGGCGGTTGTAACTGGGACAGAAAGGAATTTGTCTCGGCGTCTCGGGGCATGGCAAGGGTGCCGCCATCTTCGCGACAGTTCTTAGTCGCATCGCTAAAGGTCTTCGGTGTTCTGAACATTTTGTAGCAGGTTTCTTTCCACTTTCTATAACCTTTAGGGCAAGGGACTAGACAAAAGGAGTCTTACATCAGTTTATCAGGACCAGAGACAGCACTAATGCAAAAGAGGATAAAAAAACTATGGTAATAAAAAGGATCACAAACTCCTTTTTTTCAGAAAGTTGATGTTTATCTTTTTTTTCTTATTTATTGGTTTGGCTGACAGGGCGCTGGATGTTTCTCTTTCCCTCCCTATGTTTATTACGAATGTTTGTGACATGAAAACTTCAATTGAAAGCCTCATAAGTATAAAGAACTAAAATCAATGCTAGGAAGGAGACCAATATTACTTAGGCCACATTTAAATTGTTTAAGACTCGTCTATGTAGCTAAACGTGGTTACTTACGTGCCAATGCCCTGGTTCTCTGAGCTGTTTGAGGATGTGCAGGTGTGCAGAATGAGCTTCCTGGCTCACCAGGTGGTCCTGGAGGACCCATCAGCCCTTGAAGCCCTGTCTTTCCAGTAGGTCCAGGAGGCCCATGGCCAACTGGCCCTCTGGGTCCCCTTTCTCCAGGCGGTCCTGGGAGTCCAGGAAACCCAGAGCCAGATGGCCCCACAGCCCCCATTTCCCCAGGAGGTCCAGCTGGTCCCATAGCTCCTTTCTCACCCGGGGATCCGGGAGGCCCGGCAGACACTGAGAAAACAAAGGGCTCATTTCACCGGTGTTTGGGACTTTTGCTGGCAAAAGGAAAATTGTTTATTCAAAACTAAAATATGACTTCAGATATTTTTAAGCTGACTAAGGGATCGAAACACCCATGTGCAATGTGCAAAATGCACATGATTTTCAAGATTTGCACTTAAAAATATTCTGAATGTGCAATTTTGCACCTAGAGCAGGAGGGTGAGACAACACGTGTGAAACAACAGGAGCTTCTTGTCTAACTTTTGTTTAATTTTGGACTTCCAAAAATTGTCGTCACTTATTTGCATATCAATCAAGTACTTGCTTAAAAACCTGCAATTCTCTTGCAGTCTCTTAGTGTCACTGACACTTGAAGGTAGTGGATGCTACCTGAAAGGTTTGACCATTACCAAAATCATATCATATGCATATTACCTAGATGACTAACCATCACCGACATTAACCCTAAACAGTACACCTGGGGTCCGCGCGGACCCCAGCACTATATATTCTGTAATATCTTTTTGTTTCTAAAGATTTTTTTCTGAAATTTTACGTAATTGTCACCCACAAAGTTGTCTCTCAATACAGTGCAGAAAATTCCGTTTCTACCGTTTATAAAAAAAATTATATCTGATTTTCTTTTGGGGTCCGCGCGGACCCCAGCCGGCTTTCGATCATAATGGATACACTGGCGTTCTTATACATTACCTTATTTCCGTTTTTATATGTTTTTATTCACTCATCGTATGTCTACCAAGTTTTCAGAGAATGGTGTAGTAATAGAATTAAATTTTAATAACTTTGGTGTAATTATGACGTCATATGACGTCAGAGCTAATAATATAGTCCGCCATATTGGATTTTGACCAATGACGTCATCAAATTAGCATATTATATGCATATTAAATGATTTAACTTATATTTAATTATGTAAGATGTTATTGATGTTGGAAAAGATGTGTAATTTAATATAAAACTCAGAAAAGTTTTATGTTTAAACCAAAATTACTTCTATTTTCAAAAAAAACTGCCTGCTA